TGCCCTCTGACTCCAAGCAAGCTTTATTTGTCAGAACACAGTCAAAATATAACAAAACATTTACCACCTGCTAATGTAACTAAGAAGCATTATTTCACTTATGAAATAATGACTTCTAAAGCTCATATAGGTATATTTTTGAAATGAAAACTTATATACTACTTATTATGAAAAAAATTAAGAATCAGGTAAACTTGGGCTTAAATCCTAGCTCTATCAAGTATAGTCTGTATAAGTTTTGTCAAAATATTTTAGCCACTGCTTCCTTTGATCATATCAAAAAAGTGCTACGATTTCATAAGAGATTTTTCTATGAAAGAAAGTTTCTTGTACAGGAGTCTGGTGGTAAATATTTCCTATTTTCTGCTTTTTAAACAATAATTTAGAAGTATAAGTCTTTTTGTCCTCTACAGAAAACTCACATTGGGATTTTATATACACATTGCCGAAGGAAGATAAAAGATGAACTTACATTTAAAATAGACCATTTTTCAGTATCGTCTCCATGAGCACTCAGTCTGTTCCCTGCTATGATTCCCACAGTGTGCGGCCCGAGTGCTGTGGCTACGTGCAGCTAACTGCTCACAGCCCTCCCCTCCCCACACCACAGTGAAAGCTACAAGGCATGGGGATGCAGGAAGGCAGCAACCACTTTTACCTCAGCACAGGACACCTGTGTCTTGCTTTGTATTCCAGAAATGCCTCAGAATCAGGCTTTGGCTAAGATCATAGCTGAGATCACACTATTAGATCCATGAGCCTTCTCTTCTTCTGCCATAGGTCTCTCTGTTGCTGAGGAAGGCACCGGTAAACCCACTCACCATGTCACTGACTCAGGCTCTGCAAGGCATGCCTCGTCCACATCAGTTAGTGTGATGCATGAGCAGTGCATGTATATTCAGTTTGTTGTTTTATTTTTATTATTTGAGAACTGTGAAACTTTGGATTGGCCAGGCAACTGAAGGACATTAGAAGCAAAAATCAGAAAAAAGAAAAAGAACTTTAGCTTTCTGCTTGGACTTTCCTTGTTCTGAAAAGGATCTCATGGGGACGTGGATGCTTCTTCAGAGGGCCAGAGACATTGGGAACACTGAATATTCTGCTGATGAGAGATGGAGAAAGTGTTTGCTTGAGGGGATGGCTGAAAAATGACCCAGTAAGGAACCAATATAGGAGAAGAATGCAAAGGAAAACTATACACGGCCAGTGGAGGCATAGACTTACCAAGTGTGTGTGTGTGTGTGTGTGTGTGTGTGTGTGTGTGTGCGTGTGCGTGTGTGGTGTATAGAAACCATGAAATTCTCTGATTCCTTCAGAGAAATCCCAGGTAGATTGGAAAAGGTAGCAATTTTTAAAGTTCTTAAATTTTATATTGTTCCCTATGAATTCTTAAAAGCCAGAGTAACCTCCTCTGATACATATGATTTTAATTTTAAAATTTTTTCCTAAAACTCTTAATATAAAGGAATCTTGGGACCAAATTGTCTGACTCCACATTCAGCCTTGCCTTCTGAATTCTCCCCCACTTTGTAGGATGATATGTCATGGTTCCGATTTTTCTTCTGTTTTTCTTAGCTACTATGCTTCACTCGAAGTACTTTATCATATAAATATCAGTTTATCTCATATATATAAATAAATAAAAGACATGTACATTTAGACTTTTCTCTAGTGTTCTGTAAAGGAAATGGGACACAGAAACTCTCACGGGAGCTCTCCAGTGTTACATAAACATAAGGTGAAGAGGCTTCACTTACCAGCAGCTTGATCTCTCAGTTTACATAGTGAGGTAGCAAGATGGCACATAAAGATTCTTCACCATCCCGTAATATCCACCTGTTCCACTAAGTCAGATGAATTGAGACTCCCTTGATGGCTTACAAAAAATGAAAACAAAAACGATACCATGTACTTTGGTGTTTTTAAGTATCTGTAGCATATAATCCAAAGAGAAAACACTGTGTCAGTCATCCACTGTAAACACATGGGCTATCACATCCAAGTTCTACCTGTGTAAAACCTTGGAGAGTCAATACTTAAATGTATTTTTTAACTGAGCTTATTAAGGGAAAACAAGGAAAATTTCTACTTGTATACAAAAAGTAAACACTTGGAAATTAATTATTAGATTGTATTACCTTTCATTATTTTTGATTATTTCTTTTTTTAAGGGATCATCTCTACTCTTGAATTTTTGACAGTCATGGTATGTTCCGGGCTTACTTTCCTATTTTATGCAAGGACGTCAATTCCAGTGTTCCCAGGTGTCATTCTTGGCAGTTAAAAAGTAGTGAATTTCCAAAGTAGGTCAATTTTGGAATCAGTTTGAAAAAGCTGTTAAAAAGTACAAAGTTCCAAAGAAAATCAGAAGGAAGTTGTTAATTTTCTACATTGCATGTGTAGGGAATGGTACAGCAGCTCACGAGTATTTAAATTAGGAGCCCACAAAATGACAAGCAAAATCATACACACTTACACCTGCTGGCCCAGGTACACATGTGTTAATAAGCTATGCAGGATTGAAAAAGATACCTTGGGAACTTTATTATAATTTTATTATTGCTCTGAAAAAATTAAGGAACATCATTATCAAGTTTAAGTTTTTAAGAGAAACCAGAAACTCAGGTACTCTTGCATAACATTACTGATTTATAAATATTTTCAACTTATTTTAAAACATAGCACGGACCAACAAATCAAATCTCTGAACCAATATTGCCTCTACAATTCTAATTTTCAGCTTCTATTGGTTAGTCTCCTCTATTCAGTATAAGCCTGTGGCTGTTTTTGCTCAACACCCTGGTGATTTGTGACTTGCCCAGTTCAGTCTAACTTGTTCTGTGACTTTGTAGAACAGAGATATAAATACCAAAGCTCACTAACTCAGCATCGCTTCTATAACTGAAAAACAACAGAAATCCTCATAAATCATCCAATAAGTTTTAGAAGAATTAATGACATATGCAGATTATAAAAGTATTCAGTTTATGTGGTAAGATGAATTTTAGGTCCCTATAATAACGTATTAAAGAACAAGAAGGCAACAATTGGGAAATTATCAAGATAAATAAAGCAGAGAAAAATATAGGGCCTTAAGAAAAATAATGGAGTTGGGAAAGAAGACAAAGAAAATGAAACAGGTAGAAAACTACTGCATGAAGTCAAAATGTTTAGACTAAGTACCAGGAATAGACTTTCTTCCCTACATAGAACATCAGAAAAATAGTTTGAAGTCATAGCCATAGCTCAGACCTAGAGCACTAAACGACTATTCATGGCCCCCATATTAATCATCTCTGTAATCTTCATCTCTTACACCTGTATCCTCACTGGGAAAATGAGCATAGTAATATACACAGTGTGCTTTATTTTAAGAATTTGTGTCAAGTATATGAAATATGACTAGAATAATATTTACTGTATCATAAACAATTAAGAATTTTAATGATCTTTGCAAGTTTTAAATTAAGCTTTAGTTTGGGGTAAAGAGTCTTTTATATGCTATTAGTTTCTCAGACAAATTTATTTTCAAAGTTTATTTTTCAAGTACTGCTCTCCTTCATGGCTTTTTGAGGATCTCAAAAATTTAACAAAAGGATAATTTGTGTGTATGTGCATACAAAAATACATACTGATTTTTAAATTTCTGTTGTCACATAACTATTGATATATGAGTTTTACTGTGATGTTTTAATAAATCCATTTACTGTGTAATTAGCATATTTTCATAGTACTTAATGTTTTCTAACTTTGATCTAATCACAAATACAGCAGCTAGTGGCACTTTACTTGAACTCTTGGTCCTTTTGAAGACCTACTTTGCATATTTAATTTTACAACAAGGTTAAATGATTCTTTTGAGTGGTGATTACCTCGGTTGTGGTTAGGTTCAGGGCTTGGGTTTTTTAATAGCTTCAAACCACCTGGAGCTGATTTATGCACATCATGTACCATTTACCTTATAGTTTTTTTTTACATTTTTACTTAAAATCTGTTTCTGCTTAATTATTACAACAATTTTGTGCAATATTCATAAAATAAAAATCAAAGAACTTATGATCAATTCATTATTCTACAGTGTTTGATGTGACTATTATCCACTCCTGCCATGATGTAGTCTTTGAAGACCATTCAATTCATTTTTAATTAATTTATATATATGGATACTTTGTCTGCATGTATGTCTGTGCACCATGTATAGATGCATGCAGTACGTGCAGATACACAAGAGGGTGATAGATCCCAGGGAAGTGGAGTTACACACTTTGGGGAGCTGCTATATGGGTGTTAGGAATCAAACCTGAGTCCTCTGTAAAAGTAGTAGGTGCTCTTAACAATTGAACCATCCCTCCAGGCCTCTGGGACTATCATACTTAGGATTACTTGGGGCTTAAGTAATCAAGTTAACTTTGTTGGTTAATGGTAAATGTGGATCATGAACTACACTAGCTCTAATTCTGCGGATCCTTTCGAAATACTTATCACTGCTGACTATTAAGAGATTGTCTCTGTGCTATCTGAAATAGGAGTGGTCAGAAAATCGCTAAGATTTTAGAGACTTCATACATTAATCTCCTTAATGAATTGATGTGCCTTTAAAAAAATCTATAAAGGCTCATCAGAAAAGACTTCCTTTATCTAATTTTTGATAAAATAACTTAATTTCCCAAGGATATGTTTCCTTTTTAAAACATTTGCTATCTTTTCATTTTCAAATTCATAATCTTAAAATGTTTTATTTTGTGAATGAAACTTCAGGACTTGTTGTATTCAGTTTAAATAAAAAAGTTCCTCCTTCCATTCTCTCTCCTTCAGCTTCAACATCTGCTTCCTCCTTCATTCCGGATGGATTCATTTTTACCACCCACCTAAACCCATGACTAGGCCAAGGTTCAACATAAATAAAGCACTATGATGTTAGATTTATCCCCTATATCAACATTTGCTCTCTTGCTTCTCGTTTGGTGTTTACTGGGTGATTTTGCCAAGGACTTACGTCACAGAGGCCCACAACACGCATGCGTAGGACAAGCCAGCGTGGCCTGTGCTCCTCTTCTGGCCCTGCCCCTTCACCACCCTCACTATGGCGGAGGCGGTTCCTGCGCCCCAGTTTCGGCCAGTTACACATCTGTTATTTGACATGGATGGACTGCTTCTGAATACTGAAGATTTATATACCAAAGTGTTTCAAGAAATATGCGGTCGCCATGGGAAGACATACGACTGGGATGTCAAGTCCCTGGTCATGGGGAAGAAGGCCCTAGAAACGGCCGAGACCATAGTAGAGCGCCTACAGTTGCCCATGTCCAAAGAGGAGCTAATGGAACAAAGCCAAGCGAAACTGAAGGAGGTGCTGCCCACAGCTTCACTCATGCCAGGAGCTAATGATTTGATTCAACACCTGCGGAAAAACCACCTACCCTTTGCCCTGGCCAGCAGCTCCGGGACCCTCACCTTCCAAATGAAGACCAGTAGGCACAAGGAGTTCTTTGGTTTGTTTAACCACATCGTTCTAGGAGATGATCCTGAGGTAGCGAAGGGCAAGCCAGCCCCAGACATATTTCTTATCTGTGCCAAGAGGTTCTCTCCTCCCCCGGCTCCAGAAAACTGCCTCGTCTTTGAGGATTCTCCAAACGGTGTGGAGGCAGCAGTGGCCTCTGGGATGCAGGTGGTCATGGTTCCTGATGAAAACTTGAGCAAAGACCTGACAAAAAAGGCCACCCTGGTGCTGGGTTCCCTGAAAGACTTTGATCCTAAGCTGTTTGGACTGCCTGCCTATGAGTGAAGGGTGGACTTGCCGGCTGTGGGCCTCGTCTCGTGGGACCCAAAGACTGGTTTGTGACCCACATTGCTGAAGGGAAAAGTTAGAAAATCAACAACATCCAGATTGTAACCTTCATTGTCATCGCAGGCTATAAAGTTGCTTGCCCTCCATTGTTTACTTGGCCTCCTCTGTGATTTGCTCTCAATTTGACAATGGAAAAAAAAAGAACAAGGCAAAGCCCAGCTGACCATCTACAGCTACCATCTAAAGTAAAGTTGACTCGGTATACAATAAAGGGGGGTGTGTATGCATGTATGTATACACGTGAATATGCCCACTATGTTTTTTACACATGTATATTATCAGCATGTTCGTGGATGTATATATGCATACATGTACATTATATCATTTTCCAAATAAAATAAAACATACATTTTCTTTTTCATTTTAGTATTTTGAACATTGACAGTTTGAAAATATAAAAAATATTCATTATGGCTGTGTGTATATAAACATAAGAACATCCATATTACATGTGTATACTATGTATTGCTTCTAGTCTTTCAGACTTGACATTAACACCACCGTGCTAACCAATGAGTCAGATTTCCATTCTGTCTGATCTTTAGCTGGAGAGTGAAAGCCTTGGTATGGATAACTGTCCTACTCAGACAGCTATTATAAGTTATTTTATGACCTCATGGAGTCATTGGAACTTTATTCAATATCTTACTGAATGTGTCTAGAGCATAAACCTTCCATGTATATCCTAATCTATATTGGAGAATGTTTCTACCTCAGAAAAAATATTTCTTATGAATATTAATTTTATACTTAAAAATATTTGTTTTATTATATACTTATAATAAATGTGTTTATACAATGCATACATATAAATATATAATAAAATAAAATACATACATAAATATATAATTTATAATGGGTGTACAGTGAAGCAAGTGATTGGAAAAGAAAGAGTGAATGGCAGTTAGGGAGATGAGGTCAGAATAACGGAGAATATAAAGACTGAGATACCAAATATAGGAGCCACAATTCTTTCTTCAGAAGAACACCAAGTTAGGTTTGCAGACATGATGTTTGGGTGTACAGTGTGGAAGAATGTGTTAGAGAAAAATCAGGGGGAATAGAGGTATCTCGGCTGTATAAGTGATTGCTAAAGATGGAGAAAGAGAAATAGATCACTTAAATGATATTTGCAAGATAAAGTTGATAGGCTGTGACAATCATAAAACATGCTCAACATGTGAGCAACACTGAAGACTTCTCTGTAAATATTTTTTGATAGGAAGTAAAAAAAAAGGAAAGGTTCCCTCAAAAACATCAGTAACATATAGTTCACAGAACATGAATGAGACCTAATGAAACATTTAGATAGCCCAAACAGAGCATACCATCCTCCCTGTCCAAAAAGTTCTGAGCCAAGCAGACAAGGAATCTTTAGGAAGCATAGAAATAGACTTTACTTTTCAGATTGCTTTTAATTCATCTCTCTAGGAACACATTCCAGCAACAGAACCAAAGAGCTGAAGAAGGTTCATTCTGAACAGGGAACAGGATTGAGCCAACAAATTTCTATGTTAGTAAAAAGACTTTCTTCATGAAATATTCCTCTCTGTATTGACCCTGTTATTAGGTACTTTTCTTGTCTACAAGAAGTCTTTCTGGTTTTCTTCCTCTAAAAATACATATAAAATACAAGAGAAAAAGAATTATAAGCTTTTTAGGTTTCTGCCAATCTAAGGCAACTGAGCTTCTATTTATTTGTCTTTATCACATAATAATGAATATCCAAGTCTTTGCTCTGGAACATAGTCTTAGAGGCTATCAAAACAACAAAGGAAAAAGAACAAACTGACCATTAGCAAACTTTCTGAACTCCATCAGAGAGCTCAGGTCACAGGACCGAGTCCTGCTGTGGGTACAGCATAGGCAAGTAAACACGGAACTGGTGCATCCTGGTGTGAGAGGCTCTGCAGTCAGTGATGGAAATGTTTAAGTCTTAAGTGGGAAACAGCTACAAGTTGAGTTTGGACTAAGTTCACAGTTGTAAATCCACGGAGGCCCAGTCTGAAAAAGAAGGTACACAATGTAGGATTCTTTTCAGGATCCCTCCTAGGCTCTTAAGGTGAAAACAGTGTTATATCGCTGGGTGCTGGAACATTTCAGCTAAAATTAGAAATAGACTAGAGAGCGTCATGTACATAAACCCTCCAAGTACAGTTAAGTCACTTCAATAATAGTCTTCAAACAATTAACCAGACACCTTCATGCCAACAGAACAGACCATATGTACAGATTTTCACAGAATAACTTGAGATGTACCAAAATCCTAACATAAATTCAAAACTTTCAATTTCAGGAAGATAACACAATCTTACCTACCTTAGATTTGACAGTTATTTTTTAGACGTCATACTTGACAGAGAGAGAGAGAGAGAGAGAGAGAGAGAGAGAGAGAGAGAGAGAGATGTTGGTTTGCATTAAAGATATGTTTTTTCAGTATGAAAGACAATAATAAGAAAGAAAAAAGGCTTCAGATTTGAAGTCAATCTTTACCAAAGCACATATCTAACAAAGAAGTTGTATTCAAATATGTAAAGAACACTTAAACCTCTTAAAATCCAACAACAAGAAAACCATCCAACTCAACAAATTGGGCCACAACAGATACCTACTAAGGATGAATGGTTGGAAAATAGGCATGAAATTTTCCTTGTTAGATTATAAACAATTATCTCTACTAGGATGATTAAATTCCTATAAACTAGAGGGAAAAAAAAACACCATCAATACCAACTAGAAAACAACAGACACTGTGGGGATGCAAAACAATTCAGTGACACTGAAAAACGGTTCCACATTTTTCTCTTAACAGAGTTAAACATAATCTTGTTACAAAATCAAACAATAGCACTCCCAATTATCTACCCAAATAAGCTGAAAAGTTTGCTCCACACAGCAACCAACATGCAAATGTTTTTAGCAGTGTTTTGATAATTGCCAAAAAAAAAAAAATCTAGGCAAAAACACATCCTTCGCTTAGGATAAGTGGGTACATGCATACAATAGGATGCTGTTTAGTGATGAAAAGAACTGTAGCTTTATCAAGACACAAAACAACATAAGGAAATGTAAGAGCACATTGCTAAATAAGTCAGTTTCTAAAGGTTATGTTCTGCAGGATCTAAATATATTGCATTCTGGAAAAGGCACGAGTACAATAGAGACTGAAAATAAAGGTCAGAAAGGATTCAAGAGAGTTCTGGGAAATAGCAAAGGGTTAGACTGTGGAACACAGATTTGAGGGTAGTCAATCAAGTCCACATAACTCTGAAATTAAAGGTATATATAACCTTAGGAGTTTAGCAAAACCCTTGAGCCTATGTAACACAGTGAGAGAATATTCAAGGTAAACCATTGGCTCCAGATAGTAATTGTGTGTCAACATTGGCTTATCAGTTGTACCAATAAACCATATTGCCTTAGTGAGGGTTTCTGTTGTTGTGAAGAGCCACTATGACCACAGCAAGTCTTATAAAGGAAAATCATTTAATTAGGGTGAATATATATATCCAGAGGTTTAGTTCATTATTATCATTGTGCCATTCAAGCTAACTTGGTGCTAGAGGTGAGAGTCCTTTATCTTGAAAAGCAAGTAACTAGAAGTGGTCAGAGACACAGTGTACCTTGAGCATATATGAGACCTCAAATCTTGCCTCCATAGTGACACACTTCCTCCAACATGGTCACTCCTAATAGTGCCACCCCCTTTGGGGGCTATTTTCTTTCAAACCACCACATTCCACTCCTTGGTCCCCAAAGGCTTGTAGCCATAACATAGTGCAAGAGTGTATTCAGTCCAACTTTAAATGGCCTCAAAGTCTATAAAAGTCTCAATTTTATTTACAAGTCTAAGGTTCAAAGTCCTTAATGAGATCCATGCAATCTCTTAGCTGTAATCCAAGGAAAATCTAAATCTAAAAGTAGATCACATACTTCCAACATTCCAACATTTAGCAATACAGGATATATTTCAGCATTCCAAAACATAGGGAAGGGAGCATAGTGAGGAAATACCGGGCCAAACAGGACTGAAAGCTGTCCTCTCTGTAGACCTTCCCATTCAGGGACAGCTCTGACACCTGCCTGGCCTCAGTGGATTTCCTTAGTCTCAGTGGCAAATTATTTAGTCCTTTCCTTCTATCCTTAACTACAGAACCATGTGACAGAAACTGCAAAGTTCTGCTGCTTACTGGGGCTTGAACTTTGTCCACCTTGTTCAATTACACTTTCACCAACTCTGTTTTCCATGATTTCCTTCACTGCCTAAGCTTGTTTGTTCTAGAACCTGCTCTATAGACTAGACTAGCCTCAAACTCAGAAATCTGCTAACCTCTGCTTTCCCAGTGCTAGGATTATCACCATCATACCCACTTTTATGCCTTTCTTTAATTCGTCTTCACGGGTTAGAATCTTAGCTGGGTGGGATCCTACTCTGAGTTGACCACTCCCTTTATTCTATTTTTTAATCTTTTTATCTCCTTAAACACAGGACTTAGCACCATCCCATTTCCTGGAGCTTCTTTCCTCCTTAGATTTTGTGTTTTGTAATTTACCCTGCTCAACTTGCTCTCTTGCATTATAAACTTTCCTTAGACTTACCACTAATAACCACATGACAGAGTCTATACTAGGCTGTTTTGAGATTTCTTCTGCCAATGGAATTAATTCAAAGCTCTTCACTTTAGACTCAGGCAGACTCTTCAGACAAAAAGCAGTCATTTTCTTCACCAAAATATCACAAGAATGATCTTTATGCCACGTACTAAGATTCTCCTCTGAAACTTCTTGCCTGAGCCCTCTACAGTTCACATCATTCTCAGCACAGTCTTCCATGCTCCTACTAGTACGGTCTATCAAGTGGTGCTTAAAGCATTCCATTGCTTTCCTCACCCAAAGTACCAAAGTCTGTATTACTCCAAACAAAAACAAGATTGGGCCTTTCACAGAAATATTTCAGTCTCTGGTATCAACTTCTGTCTTAGTTGGGGTTTCTATTTTTTTTTAAATATTTATTTATTTATTATGTATACAATATTCTGTCTGTGTGTATGCCTGCAGTCCAGAAGAGGGCACCAGACCCCATTACAGATGGTTGTGAGCCACCATGTGGTTGCTGGGAATTGAACTCAGGACCTTTGGAAGAGCAGGCAATGCTCTTAACCTCTGAGCCATCTCTCCAGCCCCCATGGTGTTTCTATTACTATGAAAAGACACCACACCCATGGCAATTCTTATAAAGGAAAAACATTTAGTTGGGATAGTTTACATTTCAGAAACATCAAAGCCTGCCTCCACAGTGATATACTTCCTCCAACAAAGTCACATCTACTCTAACAAAGCCATATCTTCTAATACTGTCAC